GTCAGTAAACGGTTCGTACGGTCTGTTGCATTTTATTGTATATTGTCTTCATCTGGGAGGGCTGACGTACGGTTCTCTCACGGTCCCTGTAGACCTTGTCCTTCAGGTGGTCCCAGAGCTCTCCGTCTCTGGGATCGTGTCATTTGAAGGGTAGCCTGAGTCATCATCCCATCCTCCTGTTTTGATATTACTTTTTTGTAACTGTGCACCATAGTACAAATGTATTACGTTGACGTACTAAACAATTAGATAGTAGAACTTGTACTATATTCACTTTATAGTCCGAAAAAATTAAGCAAAAAATAAAATATATTCCTAGGCCTAGTATAGCACACATGTGTGCTCAGACTTCGGGCATATTAGGCCTCAGATAGCGTGTATTAGGCCTAAGAAGGTTAGGTTAGTTTAATTGGGAAACATAAGTAAAAAATTGTTTTTCAGTTTGTCAAAATTCATTAGTACCGATTTCTACTTTCTAATTGCGTTGTACATCTGTATATGTACTATGATCATCATCCTTCCTATAAATACTATCAAAACAGGAGGATAGGCTGAGGTGATGGATCAGCTAGGCTGTTAGGGTCTAAGGTTCACAGCCCAACGTGGGCGTAGCACTCGGTTAGATGAAGGATGGTTTGAATGAGGTTCTTAGTATATAATAGTTTTCACATCCTATGTGAAAATAGAAATAGAATCCTAATAGAAAAGATTTCACATCCTATGTTCGAACCGGAAGTCTCGTAATACTTCAACTACGTACACTAAATATAAACACATTAATTGCCAAGTGAACTAAAACACACAAGTTGGTCTCACATTGCACAAAACTATAATACATATAGAAACTAATATATAGTATTTAAACAGTTTATTACGCTTGCAAGAAAAATTACTTACTTTATATACGCTAGGATAAGCCCGATGTTTAGTAAAGTATCAACTCTCCTAGGTATTACACGTTTTGTTGTAAAGTATGTAAAATATTCTTAGCATGCATACTGGTATTCCATTGTCGGAGAGGAGCCCCTGTTTCATTATCGACATTTCTGTAGTTTAGGCCAAGGCTATCCGCTTGATCACTTAGCTGTAACGAGTATTGGATGGACTGCTGAAGCATGTAGGTTTTATAGAAATAATATTTGTACTCGGACTATCAGTGTCAGATTAAACAACTGGCTGACCTCCACACAACCAGAACAAGCAGCACTTTAATTAGCTACCAGTACATTAAAAAACATGAGAGGGAGAATAATATGTGATTCAAAGGCTGTTCTTCAAGTAATTAAAAACTTCTGGAAGATCGACAGCAAGAACCTCATACTAGCAATTATAAATGACCTATTGCTGTACAGAGTAAAGGGTTTCGAATCTCCTTTGTATGGATACCATCACACACACATATAATCCATCATAGTGACAGACATTGTAGCCAAATTAGCGTGTAACAAAGAGGAAGTTAAATTAGACCTAGGTATCCCCATCTCTGATGTCAAGACTATATTGTTCCAAACACTTTGGTCTGCTAGGAGAGAAATTACGGACTCCCAACGACCTGAAAGCACCAGTATAAAAGCTTTGATTTATTCAGAACTTAAACCTATATTATGGGCAGCACAAAACGTCCATTAGACTGTGCGACACAGTGGTTTCCAGGATCAGGTTGGGTTACCGTTACCTGTGGAAGGTGGCTAAAAGCGACAGATCTCCCACTTCTGAGCACTTCAGGTGCAAACTCTGTGAGCAGAAACTGGGGCATGATCTCGCACACATCACCGAATGCCCAGTTATCAGACCATTCAGACCCATTGGCATGAGGTACCTGGAGCTTTGCAATGACTTGATTCGCTCTCGTGTTCTCGAGGATATCCTCATAATGTACCCAGAGTTTGCCAGTGCAGCCTACTGATCACATGCCCCTGTGTGATGGGGGGGATATAGCATCATGTAGCTAGTTTTTTTTTTACACTGTACTCCTCTTCATATAATCTAGGGTAGCTGCACAAATGCGTATATACCTAAATGTGTTAATAAAACAAAACAAAACACAAGTAACGAGTAACTAATTGGCTGGCCATGTAAGGAATTCAATCGTGGCATCCGACCCACTAGAGTAAAAAAAGACCTGGAAATAGAGGACGGGTAGGTAAGGACGAGCTAACTCCCATGCGGGTTGTGGTGGAGGTAGGTCATTGAGGCGGTTTCCGGGCGGGCGGTGAAGGGTGTGGTGGGATGGCCGAGGTCGCGCGCCCTTCACGTCTAGAATCTCCACTAGCCTATCCTAAACGTGTTGTAGGCAGCAAATGTTTGGAATAGATCTTTGCTGATACTGTGGCAGCTAGTTGTTCTCCAGTGGGATTTGTTGTGTTAGTATTGTTATTGTTTGTATTGAGATGTGTGCCATTATTTAAGTAGTTTTTATTGCTTATTATATAGCATACATACACTGGCATCTTTACATACACCAGCTTTCATAGTTCCATGGGACACTGCTGCCCCCCTGCCTCACCACACCCACCAGCTGGGTGGGGTGTGGTGAGGAAAAAAAATATGAAAGACGAGCGTTGACAGACATAATTAAATTTAATAGTCATAAAAAATGCGTACCTAAATTAAAGGGAGAGGCGGGGTGTCCGTGTTCATGTGGGCTACGGTGTTTGTGTTAGTGGGCCTCGTGTACACGCTAATGCAGTACACGAGGTTAATGTTGTCTTGAAGCCCTTGTTAGCTCGAGCCCAAGTGCTCGCAGCAACACTTTTTTACAGCTGTAACTTGACACTTTAAAATATCGCATTCCTGTTTGAAATGTTTTTCCAGACGAGCGTGTAGCAAGCAGCTTGGAGGTATGGTAAGTGTTGGATAACGACAGGTATGCATTCGATTGTGCGTGATCCACTTCTGGATAGTTATTGGGTCCGTGTATAGAAACGGGCTCGTCATGACGTCAATATTTAGAACCTAATCATTGTTTTATCATCTTTTTCCCCGTGGCGTGATCCAACTTTGGATGAGCAGCTATGGATGAAGTTATCAGCATGCCAATGATTATCAGTGTCGGGGCACTTACTGCATGTCACTGCCAAGTGTTTGGTGATCGTCTTCATACTCCAACTATTTATATTCTTGTTGCTCTATGCTATTTTTAGTATATGCTATCTATGGTATGAAGGGTGGCTTGCGTTTCAGAGTCAGTAGTCATCTGAGGCTTGGGGTGACTGGTTGCAGGGGCCGGTCGAGCCGCCTCAAAAAGTTGGGTTGGTTAGCCTGAGGGAGTTGGTAGTTGTCAATTTGAATGGGGGTGGCAGCATGCAGGATCCAAGGTCAGTGTGGACGGAATTAAAATTATAGGCGACTTATATTCAAGATGAGTGAGTGGGGGGGGGGGGGGGGGTTTAACAGCAACTTGTATTTTGAGGAACAGTTGTCGCATCTAGTGCCTATGGTTACCTTAGCTGGCTATATTGTCTTGGTCTTGGCGTTTCCTCATCTTGGCATTTAACTTGCTTGTATATAATTCTTCTGTGTTATCGTAATTGTATTGCTTAAATCTAGTGGAAACTTTAGGGTTACTAATATATAGTATTAACAGCAATATTTATAGATTATCGTACTTGAGTTTCTTCTAGCTTTGTATGCTGCTGCTAGAAATTTTAATACTGTACTTTGAATACTGTAATTTATGAATTTTATATAATAATGGATTGTAGTAGTATTTCAGATTTAATATATAATGCCTATTTGTTTTTGTCTGCATGTGTGTACCAATGATATGCCTAGCTTATAATAGTTCTGTGGTCACTATTGTTCCCCAATTTCTGACTAGATTCCCTTGTTGACAAAAGTTGTGCTTTTATATATTTGTAATGTAATTAACACAAGGCGTTGTAGACACCACAGCTTGCTTCAAGGATTGTAGGAAGATGTTAAGCTCTCTTAAATTTGATCGGAAGCTTTTAAAAACCTTGTTACCTTGATATTTATATTAATAATAAACTTTTATTTCTTGGTCGATTTATTGCACGTTTGCTATTTATTAGCTCTGTTTTGCCGTCTCTTACTCGCGTCAAGAAATTAATGTTGCTCCAGTATTTCCTAGAGGTATGATATGCTATATCCCTTAACGTTTTTAAAGCTCCTAATAGTTTAGTTGTTTGAATGAAAAGGTTCTTTTTTGAATGAAAAGATTCGTTTTGAATTAAAACAGTGAAGGTTCTCTGACGGAATAGGACAACATTTCCAGTCTTGAGAATAAGTGAGGCAGTAGAAAGGGACAGCATTAACCTTTTTACGAAGCATCGTCGCAGCAGCATTAACCTTATAAAGCATCGTCACAGGCTTCGTTGACAAAGGTCTGTGAAACTGTCACAATCCCCAATCATCCTACGTCTGGTTGATAGTTTATATGATCTCATAGTATGCCTATTACCGATTATTAATACTCCTTTTTCCGCACTTATGTGAATTAATTCTGTGATGTAAGAAAGTGTGTCGGCTGCTACTGTCTGAAGTTTGGAAGTTGTTCCTGGACCTTAACCCTTCTCTGCTGTATATTTCATTTGTCATTTTTCCGTTATTGTTATTAAAGTTGTAGGATTATTGCGTCCCCGCTCATTTTTGCAGTCTCATGCACGTTCTTTCTGTTAGTATCTGCCTAATAAATGCTTTAGCCTTCAAATATTCTCATTATTGCCTTCTCATTTTCCCGTTTGCTTTTACGGCGTTTATGTATTGCAATAACCTCGTTTCTTGCAAGGTTGGCGTTCTGTTCTTAATGGTGCAAGTGGTATGGCGCCCTAGTACCATCACTGTTCTTTCATAACTTCCAAATGCCATATAACCGCACTGGCTTACCGCGCGCTCCTGATAATGTCCCCGTCAACCTTTCATCTCCCACCATTGGTTAGGTTTAATTTTGTCCTCATATCTTTAGCAGTGGCCCTTTATTAGAATGCCCTTCACGTAAAATGTTCAGTTATATCATGAAAACTTATCTTCCTCTGCAGAATGATGGCGGGGAAGCTTCATCATCTGACATGTGTGGACGGCTTGGCGGCCTCGAGGGCGACCCTGATATGCTGCCCGTCAAGCAGGTGGTGGTGGGGATTTGTGCCATGGAAAAGAAATCAGGGTCCAAGCCTATGAAAGAGATCCTCACCCGTTTAGAGGAGTTTGAATTCATCCGCACTGTGATATTCCCTGAGGAGGTGATATTAAAGGTATTGTTATCCCCACGTAACAGGTACATGGCACACTATCCTCTTATGCTTACTAGCCTAATGTAGTGTGTGAGGTATCTTACGTTGTAGGACTCTTAGCCTAATTTTATAGTATTGTGATTTGTTGACACATTATTATAGTATAAACCCAAACTCAAATAAACTCCTATGAGACCATTAATCCTGAGTACTGGGGCCTATTGGATTTTGTTTGGTGTTTGTTAAGCATGTCTAGCACCAGCTGTTCCTGGACCATACACCCACACCTGGGGCTCATATTAGCGGTCATGACCAGACTACCAGTAAGAGTCCACGTGGACCATGCATCAGCGTTATTAGCAGAGCTGTTCGTGCGGTCGCGGCCAAATGCGACCACACGAACAGGAAAGTGGGCAGGCGGTGGCGGCGTCTGCAATGCTGACAAACTGTCCTGGGGCACGAACGGAAAGTTTGTAAAAGTGAGTGTGAGAGAGAGAGAGAATGTGTGTGTGTGTGTGTGTGTGTGTGTGTGTGTGTGTGTGTGTGTGTGTGTGTGTGTGTGTGTGTGTGTGTGTGTGTGTGTGTGTAAATTGAGCAATTTACAAACCGTACCACAACTTTAGGTTTATTTGACAACTGTTTTATTTGTTCGACTTTACTGAAACGCATATTACAGTATACTTAGTAGTATAGTATATCATTTACTATTTATTTATTACGATAATATAATTTGCTTAGTATATATTTGTAATTTCTAATTTATTACAAATATGTCAATATATTTGTAATATTTATTACAAATATCGAGGCTCGGGGAGTAGAAAAACTCCTGACATACTCTCCAGGTATGCTACAGGTATTAACCAATATATTTGTAATGTAATTAACTAATTATATATTTCAAATATACAAGTTTAATTTAGTGTTAGGTTTAAGGCCTATCAACCGCTTGAGTTACTTAAGCCTCCACAATAGCTACTGATTAACCAGCAAGTATTCTGTAATCCTTAACATTGTACAGAACTAAAGGGAGCAACAACTTCTCTATGCAACCATGTGCACAGAGAAGCACATATACACATCTTGGTATATATCCCTTGCAGGCCTATTCTCTAATTGCTGTACAGTACCACTTGGCGATGGAGATACCTCTGGACAGCGCCGAAGTCAGCTGATTAATGTAAATACCAACACTGTAAATGTATTTGAAGTAACAATCACAAACTCTGACCGATAGGTTTGTGGTCATGTCGCTAGTGAGCCCCACACATACTAATTTCCTCAAAAAAATTACTATAGTGTATGTATAGTATAGTAATTTACTATAATTACATGTGATTTATTTTCAGCATTGCAAATATTTTATATTAAAGAATAAATAAGATTTTTTGTAATTTTGTAAGTGGTTCTGTCATAGACATGGCATTAATATCGTTACATTAACTTGTAAGCCCGACTAGGTGAGTACACTCACTCACTCACTCATTCAGAAAGGAGACGAGGGGTATCAAATATATATATACCTATACATGGAAGGTACTGGAGGGCCAGGTCCCAAATTAAAATAACTTTAAATTGGGGCCTAAGGGTCCAGGTCCGGGTTCAATCCCCGGCGGAGGCAGAAACAAATGGACAAAGTTTCTTTCACCCCGATATCCTTGTTCTAGCAGTAAATAGGTACCTGGGAGTTAGACAGCTGCTGTGGACTGCTTCTTGGGGATGTGTAACAAAAAGGAGGACTGGGCCGCGGGGACGCTAAGCCCCGAAATCATCTCAAGATAACTCAAGATGATATTGAATGTTATGTCAGAGTAATATATGGCTCAATAGGCTTATATTGTTTCTCTCTACCTAATGTACTGCAAACTTCATCTTCTCCCTACTTCCCTTACTTTTCTCCTCTCCCTACTTCCTTCCCTTTCTCCTCTCCCTACTTCCTTCCCTTTTCTCCTCTCCCTACTTCCTTCCCTTTTCTCCTCTCCCTACTTCCTTCTCCTCTCCCTACTTCCTTCTCCTCTCCCTACTTCCTTCTCCTCTCCCTACTTCCTTCTCCTCTGTGTTCTGCTGTATATATTGTACTCGACTTGTCCATTGGCATTTAATTTTTTAGAAAATTATAGGTTTATAATTTCATGTATATTTTTATATTATCATATTTTTGTAATTATTATAATCCATGAATTACTTTAGTTTCAGCTCTGATCTTTTTCTCTAATAATTTCCAAATAGGAACCTGTTGAAAAGTGGCCAGTATGTGACTGTTTAGTCAGCTTCCATTCAAAGGGGTTTCCCCTTGAAAAAGCTCAGGCGTATACAGACCTAAGAAAGCCCTATATTATCAACGACCTCGATATGCAGTATGATCTTCAGGTTAGTTTTTGTATTAAATGTATCTGAGAATACAGGTGAAACATGTTACAAAATCAGTAAATGTAACTTGCCTAGTAACCTAAATTGAAACGGTATTTCTTAGCTAAATCAGCTTCTAACAGGTTTCCTGGAGGAAACCCTCCGTTGGTTCCATGAAGCTATCTTGCTGAAATTGCTACGTACTAAAGGGTTACGTCAGTCAGGGTAGTTCTGTTTGGCCAACTAGGGACCAGAGGTAAAACCTGACCTCCCCTCACAGGTGCAGTGAGGGAAGTGGGATGGGGTGGCAGACGAGTCTGCAACCCCACCGGAAGATGCCAGAAGAAAGTGAGAGAAGTTTTTCAGACAACTGGAGGGTTCACAAGAAATAAAGCTTCGAAATCATCCAACAACTCTGCAAACGATTCACACACTGAACAAGGGATTCGCTCAAACTAACTTGACTCATTGGTACCAATTACTGCCACCAGGTGGCTTGACCTCAACCCTCGGCTGGCTCCCCATCTCAGTTTTGTTCCTGGTCAACTTACCACCTGTTCTGTTGCTGATGACATACCTATCAGTACAGCTTGTACTTTTGCCTCTTCTTCAGAGGCGAACATTTTGTTCTTTTGCCATGGTGGGTGATTTGTTCAGTTGCAGCCTTCTCCTTTTTTTGGTGAAGAATGAGTTGGGGGGCTTCTAGAGGGGGGTCCATTGATGCTTGATTGGTTCAGCTGGGAGTGAATCATTTGTTGTGTCCAGTGGTAACCCTTCACATTGCTGGAACAATGCAAAAAACCTGCACGCAACTGGGTGTGCCTCGTGAATGGTTTATAGGTTGACCCTATTTTCTTGGTTCCCTTGTCCAAAGGTCACATTTTTCAGGTTGTAGATTGTTTGCAGTGTCAGTAAATCTAGCCAGCCTGTGAACCCTTGGGCCCACGATTTTCTCAAGGATGCAGGTTTGGCTACTGTCTTCTCTGACATGTCTTGAGCTGATATTCGTGCTCAGGTTTTTGTACCCTGATAGTGTTGTGGCGGCTTGGTATTTAGCCATTGTTCCTGGTTCCAGTTGGTCATGTGTCATCTTGGACCCTGTCTCTGGCCAGGTTTCTCATCCTTGTGGTAGTGTCTGCTGCCTCTCCTCCCTGGTAAGTCTCATTTTTGTTCGTTATGGTTAGCTTCAGTAAACCACTGGGGTTCTAGAGGAACCCAGTGGCTCACTGATTCCCCTTCCTTCCCTTTTCTTCCAGGTTTGTTATTTTGTCATGGGATTTTTATCGGCTCCAGAACTGAGGTGGTGAGTGAACTGAGGGGCTGGAGCTCAGCCACCTAGTGGCAGTAATTGGTACTAATGAGTCTTGAGCTATGGTAGTTTAAGTGAATCCTCTGTTCTGTATGAATCATTTGCGGAGCTTTTTTGGGGGTTTCAAGGATTTGTTTTCTGTGAACTCGTCAGTTATCTGTAAAGGTTTGCTGTCTTCCTGAAAGCTTCTTAGTGTGGTGGCCGATTGTCACCTGCCCTCTGTGCCTCTGTGAGGTTGCCATGTTCTGGCTCTGGTCCCCGGTTATAGGCCAAACAAAAGTTCCGGGACTGTTGTGACCCTTTAGTTTGCCGCAATCTCAGAAAGTTAGCTTCAAGAAGCCACAGGGGCTCCTCCTGAAGAGGCATTTCATTATATTCAACATTGAGTTTGTTATATATTATGTATAGTTTATCAGAAATGAGATAACACACAGTAATGAGAAAATCTGGCAGTACCCAGAGCATAGGTTCAAATCCTCCTCATGGCTCAGACTGATTTCCTCACTGATGCATCACATAAATGATTTCTTTGTGCATAAACAGTAATGTAAAGCATGTGTTGATCACATGAATAATCTCCTTTTATATTTGCCCTACAGGATAGAAGAGTAGTATATAGCACGTTGCAGAGAGAAGGTATTGAATTGCCTCGGTTTGCAATCCTCGATAGAGACTCCAAAGATCCGTCCAGTAAGTTTGAGAATATCATTTTTTTCATGAATTGTAATGCAGGTATTTTTTTTTATAACATGATAATACACTAAATTTGTATATTTTTTTTTGTATTCTTATTATATTGTATCTTTGGCATATTTTTTTCATGGTACTTTATTATAGGGGAAGGAAAGACCCAATACAGTACAGTATATGGTTTAAGTGTATTAAAAAATATATTTTCTGATGTATCCCACATCCTCTCTCAAGGTTCTGTATACAATAATCTAAGAACTTTGTATACAGCCCCTTGAGAAACAATGTAGGTTACATCCGAGAATTTGGTTTTTAATACAGTATACTTAAACATAAATTGGGTCTTTCCTTCATTTAAGCACTATGGCATTGTAATAAGTTTTCCACTGTATTATAACTGTACTCAGTCTGAGAGTTGAACTTGTACCCTTTTCATGTATAAAATTGTACAGTAGCATACTATTTGTTTTAGGCTTGATGACATTTTCCCATTCAGTCTTTATTTTTGGCCCTTAAGCTGTTAACTAACATATGGCTGCTACTACATGCACAATAGCTTAATATTATAAAAAATGTGTGTTTTAATTACAATATAAAAAAATCATGCTTTTTAGTACATGTGCAAAACAAAGGTTATAATAACATGTGTGCATTTAGAAACATGTTTTCTGTTAAATATCTGTACAGTATATGATTAAAATAAACAAAAATATTAAGCTATTGCATTATACAGCTCATGAATTTTAAACATAACTACTAGAGGTGCAGTTTTGCAATCTGGCTTTAAATTTTAATACTGGAAAACAGATTTTAAAACGTAAAATTTGTGTTATTATTTTTCATATTACCATAATTAACCTGATTAAATAATGTTGGTTATACAGTACTGTTACTCTACTAGAACTTGAAATTCATACCTCTAGATTTGTAATACATGTTTGTTGTGTATGATATAAAATTCAGAAGATGGACAATATAGATTTATGGCTAAGCTAATGTTACACAGTATGATTTGATCAAAACTGTGTTTTTCATATTTCAGAACGTGAATTAATAGAAGGTGAAGATCATGTAGAAGTTAATGGAGTAATATTCAACAAACCATTTGTGGAGAAGCCTGTGTCAGCTGAAGATCACAATATATACATCTATTACCCCACATCTGCTGGAGGGGGCTCTCAGAGATTGTTTAGGAAGGTGTGTACAACTCCCTGCAGTTTAGCATCATCCCCTCGGTACCAGTTAGCAGCACCCTCGGTCTCATCCAAGGTTTGCTATATCCAGGTAGGGCAGAAGCAGTGGGCTACACACACACACACACACTCCAGAGTATCTGGGTTGTTAGTGCTGCCACTGCCACTTCTCATATTTTTTTCATTGCAAGCAGCAGTTATTAGGTAGAATAATTTGCAGTAAAATGAGCAAAAGTTCTCAAACTTTTTAACCGAATTGTTACATGAAAAATGTTGTGTTATCAGAAAATTCAGCACACGGAAAGCAGTGTAAGGCATACTGTCTATGTAAAAATTTGAGAAAAATAATCTCCAAGATACACTTCTGTCTTCAAGTTGATGTGCTCTGGTACTAATATTCTTCAAGTGGAGATTTCACATCTTATTTCTGAATTAGCATATGGCCTAGGGCAGAGTGCATCGGCATGCCTTGTGTCTACTTAAATCGAATCATAAGCGCTCATCTTTACCTCGGTGACCCCCACCTTTATCTCGCTGATTTCGCCTTCACCTCATTGACGTCACTAATCCCTAAACCTTCATCTAAGTGACCTTGCCTTGCTTACCTTGCTGACCACCACTTTACCTCGCTCACACTGTTTCATTAACCTCGCTCCCATCTCCTCATTAACCTCGCTCCCATCTCCTCATTAACCTCGCTCCCACCTCCTCACTAACCTCGCTCCCATCTTCTCCCCATTGACCTCGCTCCCATCTTCTCCCCATTGACCTCGCTCCCACCTTCTCCCCATTGACCTCGCTCCCACCTTCTCCCCATTGACCTCGCTCCCACCTTCTCCCCATTGGCCTCGCTCCCACCTTCTCCCCATTGACCTCGCTCCCACCTTCTCCCCATTGACCTCGCTCCCACCTTCTCCCCATTGACCTCGCTCCCACCTTCTCCCCATTGACCTCGCTCCCACCTTCTCCCCATTGACCTCGCTCCCACCTTCTCCCCATTGACCTCGCTCCCACCTTCTCCCCATTGACCTCGCTCCCACCTTCTCCCCATTGACCTCGCTCCCACCTTCTCCCCATTGACCTCGCTCCCACCTTCTCCCCATTGACCTCGCTCCCACCTTCTCCCCATTGACCTCGCTCCCACCTTCTCCCCATTGACCTCGCTCCCACCTTCTCCCCATTGACCTCGCTCCCACCTTCTCCCCATTGACCTCGCTCCCACCTTCTCCCCATTGACCTCGCTCCCACCTTCTCCCCATTGACCTCGCTCCCACCTTCTCCCCATTGATCTCACAGCCACATAACTCCACTCATTTCACATTAAACTCACTTGCCTCAATCCAACTTGACCTCACTGATCTCGTCCTAAGCAGTTTAAAAACTAGTTAATGAAAATAGAATACTGCTTAGACCTCTTAACTACAGCCCTAAACATCACCTTGCTTGGTGATTGCTTCATTCTGTGGCACCTAAAATTTAAAAAATGGCGCAAATGTTATTTCAGAGAGAGACTCGGGAAGCAGTCTAGATCAACAGTCATATTCATGTTAATTAACTATTACGAATTGTTTTCCAAATGTCCCTTTGACTAGCAGATAGAACTACTGTAATTTGAAAACACACTGGACCTTATTTTCACGCTTAGTTGATCAAAATGGAGAAAATGTTCATTTCGATAATTTGAAAGTTCATCTCTAAATTTGTCCTCAAATTACGTAATGATGTTGAAGAAAAGATGAACTTTCTGTCTTGCAATAATGTACATAGATTTCATTTTTTTTTTTTGTAGAAACCGAGAAAAAGTCGAGACGTGCAAATTAATACGGAATCGATTACATTTCAGAATTATGGTAATCAAGGTTTTAGTCATTTATCTTAACTCGAAGGTGGGGGTAATATTTTTTAAGATAATCGGTAATTGGTGTTTGGAAACTTAGTAAATTACGTGTACACAAGATTTCATAATCTTGTAACAGGCCTGCCTTTGTGGTACCGTGTAGTTATGTGGCTGTGAGTCAGATTATCATTAGATAAATAAGTTGACAGTGTCCTGTTATAGATACATGGCAATAAAACTAAGTTTAGTTTTTGTTACCAATTTTTTACTTTTACTTAAATGTGTGATCTCTATTCCAAACTTTCTCCTGTTAAAGGTAAGTGGGTAACAATTTTAACTATACCTAAAATATCCACAAAATATATACAGTATGTACATTCAAGATCTAAATTTTTGAAGGCTTGCTGGAAAGATGTTATATAACTGTCAAGCATTACATTTTACTAGATAAGAAAAGCATTAATTGGTTATTTTTTTATGGAAATTTACAGTTGCAGCCGTTCAAAATAGATTGCTATAGTGATTTTGCGTAAAAATAGAACCTTTTGTAGAAAGCGCAAGATAATTTAGCTCTTATTTTGCACATACTATGCACTTGAATGTCTGTAAATACATGCATGTATATACAGTGTACAGTACATATCTCTGAACATAACTACAGTATTGAATTACAGTATATGGATTGAGGCTTTAATTTTTTTTTTTTCATATATGTAGTTTAAAAATATAAAGTCTTAAATACTTAGTCTGAATTATTTGAGTTCTGCTATAATTTTTTTCATAGTGGTAATATTGCTTCTCAAATTTTTCAATCATTTTGTCATTAACAGAACGCCAGGAATAGTTACTTCCAAGTAAAATATCCTGTCCAGTACTACTCATTCATGATAAGAGGGATTTGTTATATTTTATAAGCATGTTGTATTTATTGAACTAAAGTTTGCATGTTCAATATCTCAGCTGTAACAGCTAATAACATGAAAAGCTGCTGCTGGTATTTGTTTTCTGATCTCACATTTTTCTGTAGTTGATGTACAGCTGCGCTCATGATAGCCGAGCTGGTGCATGTGATTGGCTTTAGTGGTTAGTAGCTCATTTTGAGAGTTTTCATATTTGATTTAACTTGTACATGAAAGGTGCTTAAAGTTGCTACTCAAAATAATAAGATATGTAGTTTGGTAGGTATATTACTATGCACAAAGACAAAAATTAAGACATTATTAGTATGGAGTTTGGTTTAGAAAAGTTAATTTTTTTAAAGATGTTATTGAAGCAGGTTTTATTTCTTGTATATACCGTACTGTATATATTTTCAGGGATATATTAATTTTTACAATTTGGTGTATTTTCTTTAATTACAAGAATTAAGAGATTCACATTTAAGACATTTTGCTTGTAAGTTGGGTGGAAAATTAAATATGGTATACCCTGTCAAGGATATCTTCACACGTTTAAATCACATCAATATTTGAGTCCTTAATTACCTCCTGAAGACCGGAGGCCCAAACTTAGCCCCCCTCACAGAAGCAGAGGGGGCAAGGGAATGCATGACCACTCTCATGAAAGAATCAAACCCCAGAAAAAAAGTAAAGCAAGATAGAAAACTGGCTTTGTGGGGTGGGGAGGAAAGGGGTAGTGGTCTCTAGTTTCCTGTCTGTTTTGGGCCATCAGCCAATCTTTGTCAGCTGCTCAGGGGCTCCATTTCTTCTGGGCTTGGAGTCCTGGTGATCTGGCAAATGTGCCAGTTGGTTTCATTTCCTGTTCATCCTTGGTGGGTCTCATTTGGCCCTCTTGGTTGGCATTGCTTTTCCTTCTTTTGGTGGCCTTATTCCACCTGTAACTTTGTTGCCAACTGGCTTGCATAGCAGGATCAGCAGTGGATCACTTATGAGGTTGGTGGATCCTGACCTTTGTCTTCATGGTTTTTCCGGTTGGCAGGATATGGCTCTAGGCATTGACCTGGTTTCTCAAGCACCCCCATGTCGCCGCTCCTGGATCTGTCATGTTTTGGGCCTTGTTCCTCTTTGTCAGCTCCAGCTTCCCTACAGGTTTCAGGGTTGAACTCGGTGTTGCCATCGTCTCCAGCTCGTTATGTTCCCGGATGCTACAGCTGAGCTGGGGCTTTATGACCACTGCTTACCTTGCCACCCCAGGGTTGGTAGTCAGGTTTGTTCTTTCAGGCACATGGTCCGAAGTGAGTGTGTGTGGCTGGTTTACATACATGGTTACATCCTTTTATGGATGTACACCCTCGTGCCCATGATGATCCTACATGTCCTGTGGTGATATTCGTAGGTGGTGGTTTAGGCATTTTAAAAGGGTTCTGATGGCTCGGTCTTTAGTCATCATTCCAGGTCCAATCAGTTGTGTTGGTTTGTGCCATGTCTCCCAGCCAGTGTTCTCTTCTTTGTCCTAGTGTCTGCTGCCTCTCCTCTTCCTGGTATGAAATCCCTATTTCTGGAAAGCTCTGGTGGCTCCCTGGTTTTCCCTGCCTCCCCATTCCTCCAGGTTTTTTTAGTTCTTCATTAAGTTGTTCAACAACTCCAAAACTGAGATTGGGAGCCAGCTGGGGCTGGGCCACTTAGTGGTGGTAATTGGTACCAACAAGTTAAGAGCAAGTTTGAGTAAATCCCTTGTTTTATGTGAATCATTTACAGAGTTATTGGTAGTTTTGACACTGTTTGCTTTGAAAACACTAGTTGTTTGGAGGTCTTTTCTGCTGGGGTGGCAGATTGTAACTGCACCCAGTGCCTCTGTGAGGGGTGGATGGGGAGGCAGAGGGCAGGATCTGGCTCTGGTCCCCAGTAGGCCAAACAGAACTTTTGTGACTGATGTGATCTTTTAGTGTGGCGCAATTTCAGCAAGATAGCTTCAGGAAGCCACCGGGGCTCCTCCAGAAAGAGGCATTTCATTACATTCATCTCTGGGTTTTTCTTGAGGTGGGCATCTTTTGATCTTTCAGCTGCAGTTGTTTTATCTTGGCACCTGGGTGGGGTTCTCTTGCTGTGGGGTTTTATACCCTATGCTGGGGAGGGTTGGGCAAGGAGGTTCTCGGGTTGTGGCCTCATCTGTTGTTGGTCAAAGTAGACTTCCCATGGTGCCAGCTTCTCGCAGCCAGCTGCTCCTGTATTGTATGGATTTTTTGGGTCGTTTCCCTGGGTCAGCGATGATAGTCCTCAGCTTGGTAGTCCTTTGGGGCTCTTGGGCCCGTTTCTTCTCCATGGCTCTCTTTCAGCCATTGCATCTTTGTTGCGACTCGGTGTTGGTTGGGTTCCCCCATCTCTTCACTGGATGCCCTGGCTATTTAAGGTCTCTTAGTAGAATTCGATGTCCTTACAGTATGTTCTCTCTCGGGTTTAGTTTTATTCCTTCCAGGTTCAACTTTTTGCATGACTGCACTAATTCAGCTCTGCTTGGTGTAGGTGGTGGTTTTCCTGGTTGCTGTCCCTAGAATTTCGTGATGCATTCTGGCATATCCTGTTTCATCTGGGGACTGACTAAGGTTTTGTTGTGGGGCTTGAAATTTCCTGATTATCGGTACCTTTTGGGGTTAATTCTGGCTCCTCAATTCTTCCCAGGTTAGCCCGGGTGATGTTTTACCTGGCAGCATCTTTTTGATGTCCATGTTTTAGCCTACCTCAGTGACTGGCTATTATGGACTCACAGCAAATATGTCTATAAGCCAGGGTTTATTCCTTTCCCATCTTGCTGGGTTTTGGTTCTTGGTGTTCTGAAAGAAGTCCCAGATGATTTTTGTCTTATCATGGAAGAGCTGGTTTCGTTGCCTTTCATTTTTTATAATACCTTAGCACCTTTTCAAAAGTTATCATATTCACTTTTTCACCTCAGGCCTGCTCATTTTCCTCTTGAGTCATCTGGACATCTGGATCAGGTGTGTTTTTCTTCTGTCCTTGAGGGGCATTTTCTTTATCTACAGCCTTTTCCTTCTTTTCTGGCTCAGATTGAGATGGTTGGCTTCCATAAGGGTCCTTTGGTTACCGATTCTTTGTTCAGCCAGGAGTGTAAAGTCTGGTTGTAGCAGTCTGCATTGTTGTCCCATTTAGCCAGTTTGTGGTCTACCCATGAGCCCCATGATGTTTTGAAGTTTGTGGTTCTGTCTGATGTATTTTTTATTTTGTCTTGGGATGATATCTGGGTTCAGGGGGCTTTGGAGTTCTCCTTGGGTCCTGGCAGCTCATGACATGGTCAAGGTTTCCAAGTCTCCTTTGAGCTTGAGGTGCCATGGGTAGTTTCCCTCCTGCTCTCTCCTTTTGGGGGTTTGATCTGTTCATGCCTCTTCCCTAGTGTGTTCCATTTTTTTTCTGTGATTAGCTATATGGAACCACTGCTCTGTCCCTACATAAAACTAGCATTGATGAATGTAATGAAATGCTTATTTCTAAGGGGGGGCTTTTCTGAGGTTTAGAACTGAGGATTGCTGACAAGGGGAGCTGTAGCTCACATGGTGACACGAGGTGGTGGTCAGCTGTTACTAGGGGGTGTAAGACCTAACTATCAGGTGGACTATTTCTTGAGTCATTTGCTGAATTGTTTGTTTACTTTCTATGAACCTTGCAATTGTTTGTTTTGCTTTGCTTTCTTTCTGGGATTTGATTGTTTGGCGAGAGTGATCTTGAATCCCCTGTTCCCAGCACTTCTGTAAGAGGGTCAGGGTTTGGCCTCTGGTGTTTGGGAGGCTATTAACAACTAGCAAGTTCTTAATGTGTGTGACACTATCACAGTGCGGGCTAGGTTCAGGGAGCCACTGAGGTCCCCTTCTCAGAAAGAGGTGTTACATTACATCCAGTGGTACTTCTCGGGTGCAGATAAATGAGTGCCAACAATATTAACATGTAATTTGTATTACAAATTTATGCATTATATATTTTTTCAAATAACAAATACAGTATATTTTAAATTTTGTCAAATGTTTATCAAGGAGCTGACTATTTTTCTTTGTTTGCTCCTTCTATTTAATTATTTCCATGTAAGATGGCACTGCCTAATGTACACATTGCCTATCATGAATGATACATCAAGATAAAATTTAATACAGCAGTTTGTTTATATATAGTAAAATTAGTACTGTACTGTTTGATAAACTATTGCATATTGATTGTAACAAAGCCACAAGTCGTCATTCTGCATGATTTCACAGTTCTTACCAAAATGACAATAGTTTTTTCCTTAACATTTGATTTGTTGTAAAGAGATGATGATGAGTTCATAACTAACTCACTAACTTCACTTAAAATGTTTGTAATTTGTTTATATGTAAAATGAAGTACAGTACAATAAATTAGTTCATATTTATGTGATCAGCTGTGTACATGTGTATTCTGAATTAAATAAATTGATAAGTTAGAGAAATTGGAAAATATAAATTACATGATCATGATAATTTTCTCAATCCTAAGTTCCCTTTTTAATTAAATTATGCTGCTGAATGGTGTCATTGTAGATATTTAGATGGATTGTTTTATTCATACAGATTGGATCCAGAAGTAGTGTTTATTCTCCTGAAAGTAGAGTAAGAAAAACTGGCTCATTTATATACGAAGATTTCATGCCAACCGATGGCACAGATGTTAAGGTATGTTTGTCTTTTTATGTTAAATGTTGCCTATAAATCCATTAAACTGTATTTGATTGGTATAGGAAATATTACATTAATAAAATTCACTTTTAAAAGAATTTGTTTTTGGCTCTACAGGTGTATACAGTAGGTCCCGACTATGCACATGCAGAAGCTCGCAAATCTCCAGCATTAGACGGGAAAGTTGAAAGAGACAGTGAAGGCAAAGAGGTTCGGTATCCAGTGATTTTATCAAATGCGGAAAAGTTAATAGCAAGAAAAGTGTGCATTGCTTTTAAACAGACAGTCTGTGGATTTGACTTGTTAAGGTTGGTTAATATACATTGTCTTGAAATATATCTTTAAAGTGCTATATTGTTAATGCAGTACTTTTGCACACAGTTTTTTAATAACTGTTTGAGAATGTCAGAGCTGCCATTATTATATTATTCATACATACATACATACAGTTCTTTACCATTTACCATCCCTTTACCATTGTGCTATTTTTTCCTCCCACAGAGCAAATGGAAAATCATACGTCTGTGATGTCAATGGGTTTAGCTTTGTAAAAAACTCCAGCAAATATTACGATGACTGTGCCAAGATCCTAGGGAATATGATTCTTCGTGAATTAGCACCCACCTTCCACATCCCATGGGCAATTCCTTTCCAGTTAGACGATCCTCCAATTGTACCAACAACGTTTGGGAAAATGTACGTTGAAATTCTGTAGTAAGGGTTTTTTAAGAATTGAATGCTTTCTTGCTTTTCCTTATACTGTATTCTAGATTTTTTTTTTTAACTAATTTATATTCTAAGGTTTGTGATACCATACTTGAAGAGGGGAGCATACAAATTGCAAGTTATTGAGAGCATAAGTTATTGAAGTGGTTGGAGAAAGGGAAGTACTTTTGTGGCAGGACACTAATGACTTGAGCTTAGATGTGGAATTAGGTGAACTGATCAAACAAACAGCTTTCTTTTTAAGTGCATCAAGATATGTGGTAGAAAGGGAGTTTATATGTGGTAGAAAGGGAGTTTCACCTGATACCAGTGCAGTAATTTTGGGCAAATGACTTTTGTAGAGCTGAAGTAATGAAGTGGTGGAATGTTTCAAACCAAAGGTGATCCACAAAAATACCCAACTTTTTCAAAGCATTCATGGCAATTGCTGAAATGTAAAATTTCCAGAATAGTTTGGACCCGACTGTATTTTTTAAATATTTGATGACTTGAGATTCAAAATAAGGAGTTTTAGAAATGGTAATTGGCTAGTGGTTGCTTTTATTTAAATATAAATGTGGTATTAAGAAAGGGGAGAAAGGGAAAGTGTTAAGAAGGGAAAAGCTTTAGAAGGGACAATATAAAATTAATAATAATAATGTAAGATGTGAAGCATGCTCCCTTAGTACAAACAGGAGGGAAGTACATCTTGTGTGCCATTCACTTTCTTTGATGTCCAGTTCTTGAAGGGCTTGGAGAAGCAGCTTAATTGAGATGAATTAATGAGAAAGAGTATTTACCAGAGGAGAAATGGAAGGGTCAGTGTGGCTGGAATCATCCAAGTCGGTATTGGAAGAAAAGAGTGCCTAAAAGGTTAGCTTTGTCAGATAAAGATGCCAATATAGAGCTGTCAGAATTATACCGACGAGTATAAGACTGCAGACGAATTATGAACGATATTTAGCAAGAGATCTGAGAGAGCTCTAGAGTTAGATGACAATAGTTCACTGCCCTGTTATAGGTAAGTTCTGTTTAGTGGTACGAAGGACAGATGTAGCTTGGTTCCTTGCAGAAACTGAAACTAACTTTGGTGACTAGTACAGTATTTGTACTAATGCTACTGGTTTGACGACTGGTGAATATAGGTTTGGCAAGTGGTGAATCTCTCAAACAAATCCACAAGGGCTGTGACGAGGATTCGAACCTACATGAACCTATTTGTTCATTTGATGCGTGACACTGTTGTGATTTGTGTTTGTAGTGAATATCGTGCTAAAATACGTACAGCAATTTTATTTCAAAAGTACTGTAGTTTTCATGATTCAGCACAAAGTTACTGGACTAAAAGGAAGATACTATCCTCTTATTAATAATTCAAGTTATAGCTACATGTAATGTAATATTTTTGTCTTTCTTATATACTCATGTATTTTGAACCATGAGAATTGCTTTCAGTAAATCACTCTCAGATTATCTATCTATCATGCATAACTACTGCCAATCACTTTGTAGTGTAGGTGTGATTATATATTTAAATGTAGCAAAAGCTTTCTTTACCAATCACCGATTTATGTGTTACAATATGTGATGTAATTGACATTTGCTTATGTGAAATAGATGGTTAAACAAATTAGTCAGGATTTTACTTTATAGCAATTTTATTAAAAAAAAAAAAAAAGCCAATCAAGCTTAGTTGTATTTATTTCATAAATCATTAGCAGTGAGGGGAAATTGGTTGAATCTCATCTTACGTACTGTACAGTGTTTGTGTTGTGTGTGTTTTGTGTTTTTCATCAAAGTCTTAACTAATAAATCTTGGTTGTATAATTCACCATAGATATTAAATAATTATTCTCGACAAATTAGTTTGAAGATGTAGAGTAACAATACTTCTAGCATCTTTCTTGATGTTTAATATAAAATTAGTATTGCATTTATAGCATGTCTATGAATTAAAGACAATTGAATCAGCATATTTCAATATTTGATAGAGTTGCAATCTCTTGGATGCGTGCTTGGTGGTGTTGCGGACGAACATCTGTCCATCCACATGATCCTCCCAGCATTTATTTGGTTAGTCAAGTTATTCTGTACACACGAACGGACTCCTTTTGGTGGTAGATTGTCTTGACACTAAACATCTTAAAGAGCCGGTAGACATGACAACATGTAACTTTAATTAAAGCTCGTAAAGCCTTTTTCCGTTGTACAGTTTGTTACATTCAGGAAAATGTTCTGCAGACATTTAGATAGCTTGAATTTTTCTCTATGAAATCATTAATTTTAAATAAAATAATCTTAAAGTGTTCTGTGTCATCTTCTTTCTTCATTCATTCATTGTCAGTATGTTTGACCTTGCTCTTTGTCAGTTTATTTTAATGTTAAACTAATTCTCTACTAACATTATTATTATTTTTTTTTATTTTTGTATTTTGTCTAAGTTTTTTGTTTTGTTTTGTCTCCATTTTAAAATTACCTGTAGTGTACACTTTGAAAGTTTTAATCATGTTTTAGGAAAGTGCATATGTGTTAGCTACTTTTCCAGTCAAACATTTTGGAAAAACAATAATAAAAAACACTCGCATATTGTATCAGGATAATGAAAGTGATCGTGTTGTGTTTAGGACTTGTGAGAATTCCCACCTTGTATAGTACAGTATATTCATTATATAACTTTAAAACTCTGGTATGACACTGTTGCAGTGCTGAAACCTGTTGCACGTAACATCTACATTCCTTCTATGCATTAAAAGGAATTTGTAATGCATGAATACTGGGTGGCTTTTCTCTCTTGTGACTGCACATATTTTAACTTTGATCTGCTGTATATTATCGTATGTTCCTTTCGGTGGTGCCGAGTATTTTAAGGGTTTGGGGATCAAATTTATAACCAAGTTCATGGTTTTTGTATATTAACTAATATCTCTCTCTCTCTGTTTGATTCCTCAGGATGGAGCTGCGATGTGTGGTGGCGGTTATAAGACATGGAGACAGAACTCCAAAGCAAAAAATGAAGATGGAAGTAAGACATCCAAAGTATGTATTACGCCTTGCTTGTGATTGGCTTCTTCCTTGTATGACAGTTTATTATTAGCGGACTTAACTGCTGTTATATAAGGAAGCACTACTATTGGAGAAATTAACGAAGCTATCCATCGTCTCATTGATAGTTGGGATGTTATATTGTTCTTTGATCACTGCAATCACAGCATCTCTTTGAGCATTTGTCATACATCTTTTACCTATACAATCAGTTAGGCCAAAATTGTGTATCTATATGATTTAGGCAGTGAAAGGGTTAAGGTTTTCTTGCTATCTGGCCATCTTTGGAACTACTGTCATGGAGTTCTGTTTAATTTGTGTAAAATGGGTGTCACAGCTTCCTGTTAGTATTCTAATAGCAACCTTGAGGTTACCTTGAGGTGCTTCCGGGGCTTAGTGTCCCCGTGGCCCGGTCGTCGGCCAGGCCTCCTGGTTGCTGGACTGATCAACCAGGCTGTTAGACGCGGCTGCTCGCAGCCTGACGTATGAGTCACAGCCTGGTTGACCAGGTATCCTTTGGAGGTGCTTATCCAGTTCTCTCTTGAACACTGTGAGGGGTCGGCCAGTTATACCCCTTATGCAACACCAAAATTGCTTCACAAATCATTTACAAGTTATGGGAGCTTGTAGTGTACTTTATGAATTAATGATCATCTTGGGTCCTTTTAGGAAGCTTTTATTGTTTTTGTTTTTTAAATATCTGCATTTTTTTTATTTTAATGGTGTAGATTTCCAGTTATTAACGTCATGCCTTGGTCTATTTGCTTCATATTTAGTAAACAAATAATTTGAAACCATGAAGTGTTCCGTGTTGTTTTGGGGCTTGTTTCTCCTGATGTTGGGCGGTACTTTGTGATTGAAGGAGGACTCTTATGGCACCTCCCTGCTAACACACAATGTAACGGTCACTATGATTTCCTTGTTATGACTTGTAATCAAGTTGTTACATCTTGTTAAAATGTTTTTATGATGTATTAGAATGTTGTTACAACTTGTTATAATGGTTGTTAAAGTTGTTAGGTGTTAAACCTTGTTCGAATGTTGTAGCAACGTCGTAATTTCATCGTGTGTTTGGCGGGCATTATAAAGAAAAAATTAGCGGTATGGCAGAGATTGTGTTTTGCTTCTGCAGTGGAAATGATCATTATATGGTATAGTGTTTCATATGCTGTACTGTGTGTCTGCTTAGTGGAGACTAAGCCTCTGTCTGGCCCACTCTGTGTTTCTAATGTTGGCACGTATTATTTAGGTGACGAGCATTTATGACTATGCTGGTTTCAGTATGGTTATATCTGATGTATTTTTCTACAGTACATCTTTAGGGTTGTTAAATCTCATAAGTAGTCTGATTTTGTTTGTAACTGCATTTAATTTTCGGAGGTTTGTTGGACATTTCTCCATGTCTTTAATTACTTCCACTCTACTTGATCCTTCAAACCTATATTTCCCATGGACATGAGTATCCAATCCTGATGTGGATCTGTTCTGTTATTGTCCTGTCAACAATGCTTTTAATGCTACATATGGATGAACTTCATGAAACATTGTGACATTCATAAAAAATACAAATGGGAAAATTTAATATAATACTATATTGTCTTGAGAAGTTACAGTAAGCCACTAACCAAGTACAGTATCAAGTTTATTTGTGACTGAGCACGCAAAAATTTTATAGTGTCTCGTTCATTTCTGCTGTTCCTAGTGACAGTTCTGGAGAATGTCGGCAACATAAATGGTTTTTAATTGTTGCTGATGTTGCTATGTTGAAAGTGGCAGTATTGGCAGCCTTCTGCAGGGTCTTTCATGCACCATTTGGCCATCTTTAGCTGTTAATGAATTTAAAAAAAATCTTATGTACTCTTACCTTGCTGCATGGTGTTAGAGATTGGTTTATATGTAACTTTTATTAACTGAAACACCTGGAGAGGTTGAGGACTGTCTTATGAATGTTGTACAATTAAGAAAGCGTGACAAAGAATGCAGGAAGGCATAGTTATGATAATAGTAAAAGACTGCAACATTGCTGCAGTCTGGTCAATTTTAGGATATCGCTGAAGGTGTGATGATGTAGCAAATGACAAAGAAGTGATAGCTTGTTAGTTGCTAAATAAGAGCTGTTGTGAGATAAAGGGCAGCTCCTTTTTTTCTTCCTCTATATTAGTGCTTCCATGTTGATTGAAATTAATCAGTCTTCTTACTTGTTTATAATTTTAAGTTATATGTAGTTGCAATTAAAAATTAGTATTATATCAGTTAGGAATCAGTATCTAACCAAGAACTGGAATAATAAAATGTAAATAGTTATTTTAATTAAAACTAAGGATAGGCTATAATAATTTTCACAAAGTACAGGTGAACCTTGTTTAACGTCGGGGTTAGGTTCTTGAAAAATCATAACTTTAACTGAAATGATGTGACGTTAAACCAAAAAACCCATAGGCCTAATGGTATAAGGAAGGGTTACATTCCTAGGTTACTGAGAAAGCTTATGTTTGGTCATTTTTTTGCTTGCTCATTCTTGTCACACCTAGCACATTTAACTTAGATATTTTGTTTCTCTTGGTATTTCTGTAGCATGACTACATGTCATAGGCTGTTTACCCACCTTGTTATCCAAGGATATTTTTTACTAATAATGTCGTGTATAGAACTCGCTCACCTTGATTGTTTGTGATCAGCTGGCGAAATGCATTTGTTTCAGCAGTGGCTAAATTCACATGATAATTTGTTAAAATAGTCACATAGTTGTATTATGCAGTACAGCATTATATAATTTTCATGTACAATACTGGATTTTGTGACATTATTGTCAGTAAACAAAATGTTTTGTATTTAGCACCGTATAAATACAATACAGTGTTTATTGACAATATTTAACACCTCGTATATTGTACTTCATTTTCTGTAAGTACTATAGGTTTCCACATCATTTTTTCTCTATCGTACGCTGGAAACTTAAAAAAAAAAAAACAGGAATGTTTGCCTGTCTGTTGTTGAATATATATTTTTTCTAACGACGTAAAATCTAAATTGATGTTAGGTAGAGCATCGTTAAACGAGGTTCACTCATACTTTAATGAAAATTAAATATTCTCTGAGCATTTCCCAAGAATTTATAACACAAGTACATTGCAAAGCTCATGATGTATTTTATATTCAGGTTTTTTGCACTCTTTGCAAAGTATGATGGCTACAAGGATGGTCATGTAAAGTTGAAGAAGCCCAAGCAGTTGCAGGAAGTATTAGACATTGCTCGAGCTCTTTTGGCAGAGATTGAACAGAAAAGAGCAGACCCGGAGACAGAAGAGAAGAAGGGCAAGTTGGAACAGTTGAAGAGTGTCCTGGAAATGTGAGTTGTGGGTTGCTTGTGAGCATGACTTGATGTAGCGTTGTCCAATTCATACGTAGCTTCCTCATCTGATTCTCTCTGTTTGATGTGATTCCTCAAGTCTGTGGATTGTATTTATGTCCTGATTGTCTTGTCTTGTCTAATTTTACTTTAGTTGCAGCTTTTATGATTCGGCTATCTGCAACAACCCAATGGTATTAGTTGACTAAGGAACTATTGTGAGGCTGTAATACAGTAGTAACCTTTGAAATTATCACTATCAATTTAATTTATAAAATCTATAAGTTTTTGAATATGTAAAGTATATATATATATACAGTATATTTTTTTTACATATTCAGTTTTCAGTGTCATAAGTTGAAACTTTAGGGTGACTAATTTTCCTCCTGTTTTGTGTAAGAGATGAGCAAAAGTGTTTATACAGGGACCCCATATAGTCAGGATATTGTTGGATGTGGTAGTCAGCAATACTCCTATTTTTCCCCTCTACTAAGGCTTCTGACCAAGATAGTCACTTTACCGGAAGCCTAAAAGGTTTGGAATGTAGTTAAGAAAAACCTCTCTTCAGCTCTGATTACTGGTACATTGCCACAGATCTGGAGTTTAACTAGATTTTGAATGGTATTATCAGTATTATTGCATTTTATTATTATTATTTGTATTATAGTATATTTTATTATTATTAAATGTTTTTTGAGTACTATTAATATTTTTATTTATTATTATTTTTATGACTACTAATGCCATTATTCCTGCAAAATATTAATACCTGTATTAATTTTTTTAAATATTTATTGTAATTACATGTGTATTTGAAGGTATATAAAGTATTCACTTAAAAAATATATATACACACACACACACACAAAATTGATAGGGAAGATTTCCCAAGACCTGGAACTTCACGAACAAGAGGTCATAGATTTAAACTAACTAAACACAGATGCCGAAGAAATATAAGAAAATTCACTTTCGCAAACAGAGTGCTAGACGGTTGGAACAAGTTAGGTGAGAAGATGGTGGAGGCCAAGACCGTCAGTAGTTTCAAAACGTTATATGTCAGAGTGCTGGGAAGATGGGACACCACGAGTGTAGCTCTCTCGTCCTGTAACTGCACGTAGGTAATTACACTTAGGTAATCTCACACACACAAATAAATGATTAAAAAGTATTTCATGATATACATGAAACCAAAATTAGAATATGCAGCAGTTGTATGGTGTCCATATAAACAAACATAGATGATATAGAAAAGGTACAGAGAACTATATGGCTTCCAGATCTCAAGAACAAGTGCTAGAGGAGAAGCTGGAGGATAGGCCAAAACTAATAGAAGTAAAGTGGGGGGGGGGGCAATATAACAACTTTCAAGACAGTGACGTTAATCGACAAAATTAATAGCGAGAAAATAAAAAAAATCTACAACACCGAGAACTAGAGGTCGTAAAATCCTACCACAGAAAAGAAAGGAGCTCGGAAAATGTATTGATGATCATTTGCCGACACAGGTAGATGGATGGAATAAATTACGTGAGAGCAGTTTGTGTGTCAAAACCATTTAAGCTTCTAAACATTTTATGACAAAGATTATAGAAAAGATGAAACACCACTTGCATATATAACAATATATATATACAGTACCATATATGCAGTTTATGCCTGCAGTGCAGTGAATGAAGTGCAGTATATACTTGTACATATTTCCATAAAAAAATTGAAAAGGAATTAATATGGTACATGCTATGGCTGCTATAACCATAGTATAAGCCATATATTTTCTATTTCATATTTATATAAGCTTTCATATTAAACTAACAAAATTTAAGTAGCAGCCAGGAGTGTCAAATTGACAAGTATGATAGAAAACTTGCCAGAAAAATCAAGCTTTATTAATACTTGGAATACTGACCCAACCTTAATATTTAACCCTACTGCAAAGCAAGATAAGGATTTCCTAAAAATCTCTCTCAATTTCAATATGCTTCTTTATATATGTAAAATTCTCTTTGATTTACCTCTTAACATATCTCCCCATTCAAATTAATGTTTTATATTTATGGGACTTATCTCTATACATAACTTCTGTATTTATTCCACTGCATAGTTTTTACTATCTTAATTATTTTACCTCTGCTTAATCCCCCGAGTCGCCTCTTTCTCAAAACTACAGTTTTTTCCTCAGAAGATCCAATACAAAACTGTAAATTGTAGTATTAAATTCGCTCTAGCCAATGCTAGAGGTCCTTACGGCACGAGGACATTATCTCCCGAAGGAATAAAAATAACCCAATTGATTGGGCTCAGACTTTTCTCACACAGTTTTTTTTTTTTTTTTTTTTTTATATATTTTGCAATATGTCTGTATCCGAGCTGGTACTGTCACTGTTTTAGTGCCCCCGTTGAAGGCACAATCCCGTTTCAACTTGACCAATATCAGCTCATTCAACCTTACTGGTAACACCCTCCACCTTCCTCAGGAACAACTTGATTGGTTTGATTAGCGTTCGTGTATTGTGTTAGTCATCACCAATTACTGCTGTTTGCGACTCCTTATCCTGATATCATTTTAGTGTGTCTATCGTTGACATTATCCATAACTTCATTCGTACCGTGTTTAAAAGACGATACTTGTTTTTGGCCTATGTTGTTATAGTAACTCTTAACATTCACACTGCTCGGTCAATTTATTTTAAAATTGGCAAGATAAGCATGCATATATACATATACACATTTTATATATATTATATAATATAATATAATATAATATAATATAATATAAATAATGTGTGTATATGCAAGTGCACAGTAAAGGCTAATGAAAGTTTGTATACGTACATCTGAATAATTTATATTAAATAATAAAGAAAGATTTTAGCTTTCAGATAATAATACAGTAGCCTATATATACTGTATAATTATAGATAAATTTTTATTACCAAGAATATAGGAATATTGGTTTTGTCCCAATTTGAAACTTTTCAGGACAGATTTTTATGCAGACTTGAGCAGAAATTATTGTTCTGGGATGTCTGAGTAGTTAATGAGATAATCAAGTTAATGTAATTTAATTTAGGATTATGATTGAATATTCAATCCAAGATATTTTTCAGCTAATTTAATTGCTGTGATATTACTTGTAAAGTTCTTTGGCATGCTTAATCTCTCTTTATCTGTATGGTATGCAGAATATTAATAGTTCTTACTTCTCCATTGCATTTATCTACAGTTTTTTGTTTTTAAACGGCTGAGGCTACATTCCAAGTGCTAGAAAAATAACAGAATACCAAGACATCAGTATAAAATGCTGCTGTCAATTATAATTACTAAATGTACAAATACTAATGTTTGTTTTGTCTTATGGATGTAATTAATTTTAATTTTGCACAGTATTTGAAAATTATAGTTGTCATGTCTACTGCCAATTTAATATTGGATAAAGGTACTGTACTGTACTGAACTGGAAAAAGCACGACGAAGCATCCCAAGTTTATTCTTTTTTGTGAATCGTTTTGATTAATAAGATTTCCAATGCATATTGAATATGGAATCTGTTGCAATTCAACGGATAACCATATACAGTATATGACACATGAAGGCCAACCAATAAACTTTCTTTATTAAGGGAAGATGACATTACTAGTGCATTGTGGTTACACTAGTAGTACTTCATCACTGTTTTTAAATTGTAGCACAAGTTCCACCTATGTTGTTGGCATATTGTGGGACATCATGTTTTTCTGGGCTCTACTGCTACTTCTTGGATAAAGATATTAGGAAATGATAAAACGTTTATAATTTTTGTTTATTTCTATAATTCGGAATAAAATATTGCTTGGAATTACACTTTAGTCATAACATGTTTGCAACAGTACCAGGCAGTGCCTAGCATTGCAGAGGGGCCATATAACTGTTGCAGTGAAAATAATTATCCATTAATTTAGTTACTGCACATTCTTCAAGAAATTAGTGAATGTAAAATATTTTTCCTTGTAGGGTCTGCCAGTAACTGCATGTCGTTTCTCTTGAATATCTTTAAGCTATAAAGTGCCTTCTGATTAGTTCTGTTAAATTCCCTTGTCTCTTGCCTTTGATATTTGCTCTGATTACTTCGTACTGCATATGCGTTTGGTCTTCACTTGGTCAGGAAATATAAAATGCATTTTATCTTCTTAGATATTTGATAATTTCTATATCAACAAATTTATAATATAAATTGAAATTGATTAAGGGCCTGTAATTTTTAATCACTCGCATAGTTTTCTCTCATGTAGCGAGTGAAATTTATTCACATTTTATATATACATATAAATATATATATATATAATGTAAATAAAATATAATATAGTTTCGCGAATTGTAAATAGTCACTCGACAGAAGTGCTTCTATACTCAAATATACCTTTATTTCTATAAAGGTAATTCACATTCATATTTGAGATAAAGACAGCAGTCTTGATAATCAAATATTTTGAACGACTGGTTGAGGTTAGAGGTATGTTTTCTGAACACAGTTGAGAATATTTAGTGGCAGTAGACATACTGTATACAGCTTTATTAATTTGTTAATTACATCTGCCAGTCTTCTATCTTCCCTCTTCAGTTTGGCAGTTTGGATGGCCACACTTTATGAATAGATTATTCATATCTATTCTATTATTATTATTATTTTTAGTAGTAGTATAGTATATGATGAATAATTTTGCATGCAATGGCATGATTGAAATCATGCCATAATTTGTTTTCTTCTGGGAGCTTAATCATTAAGGCTACTGAAGACAAATTGTTTGAATATTTTGCAAGATTTATGTTCAGTTTTATTGATGCTTAGAGCCACCTAAACGAAATGACTGATATACAACTTCTTTCACAAGTGAGCACCACTGTTTAAAGCTGCCTTGGGATGCTCACATGATGACCTCACCAATATTCTTTTATTGTTTTTATTTTTATTATTATTCTATCATCTCAATGTATTTTTGTACCTTTTTTTTCGTAAAACT